TTTAATTTACATAATTTATCACAATTTACGATAATATCTGGAAACAAAAGAGAGTAAAATAAAATTTTATAAACAAAAAAATCTTTGAAGAAAAGCATATAAAAAAAATAATTAAACATTAAATTTGAAAATTGTTTTAAAATTTAGGGTAAAGCAGACAGAACCTCAAGAAGGACCTTACTTTTAGTTTCACATACGTTGCGGTCCATGTCTTGATTTTTTTCTTCACGCAATTCTAAGAAATTGCATTGGGGTCTCGAAAGTACTAATAACCTTCTTTCCCCTCCCATTTCCTGTACAATCTAGAGTCAGAAACTTGTTTTTCATGTCTATGCCTTTTTTTCATTTAGAGGATTCTAAGAATTATTAGAACTCGAAAGCCTAGACCAGAGGTTCCCATACTTTTTTGTCTCGTAGACCCCTTGCCATGTTTTTCGTTTTGCGGTAGACCCCTGCTTACGTAATATGGAATTTTTGCGAATTTATTAACTTAGATGTGTTGATGAGACAGCTGGTACAGAGCTACTTATTTTAAATGCTATAAATTTCTAACTGTAGTGAAGTATAAAATTTAAAACTTAAGAAACCTATGCTAATTAATTTAAAATTTAAGGGATGCATAAAATAACTGATTAAAAAACAAATGTTTATAATGATAAGAATGATTCCGGCGTTTCAATAACAAAATTTTCAACATTTGCTATCAATCTTGTCAGGTTTAACCCTAAATTTCCTGGGTTAGTAGTGTCCAGTTGACAACCGCGCTGGAACTTCTCACTAGGAAAAGCACAATTAAAAGCTTTCTCCAATACTCCATAACTCGAGGTAAATAACTGGTATGTGTGTGTGTGTGTGTCTCTTTAAAGCCAAAATTGCTGACATCTCTTTCTAAACTTTACTCCGTTACTTCCTATTCCGATCAGTTCCTCTTGTAATATGACATTTTTTTTTTCAATGTGACCTTAGGAACTCATTGTCTTCTGTGGTAATGACCAAGTAAATGCATTCTCAAACCTAGTTTCAAAATCTGAATAAAGGGACTAGGAAAATTCGTTACGTCCAATATTATACTCCTTTTGATTAATTCTGGCAATAAATGCTGAAAGGATGGTCCTTGTTTTAATAAAATTTATGCTGTCACATGACTGCAAATTAGCCTCATTTAGTAAAGTAAATAAATGTGTTAAAAGGTAAAATCTGGTTTCCATTTGATTAAATTTTCTTTAAAAATTAAAATCACAATTTGGTTTAGTGAGAACTGCCATAGACCCCCCACTTACACCTCATGGACCCCCAAATTATTTTCTTGCTGTTGTGGACCCCTTACAAGTCGTCATAGACCCCTAGGGGTCTATATAGACTACTTTGGGAATCACTGGTCTAGACACTAAGTCTTAGCTCTAAGCACTTTTGTCGAAAAAATGGCCTATACACAAAATTCGCTAAATTTAGAACAAAATATTTTTTTTTCATCGAAAATAGTATTATTAGCTACCAAAATTATTCAAAATATTGTCTGGAAAAAATTAAAACTCTAAAAACACAATTGCAAAATACAAATATTACTTTTTAAAATTTTATTCATAAAAAAAAGAAGAAAAATTCATAAAATTTAATCATTGTATGATATTTGTTTTTTTAAATTCAAGTCACACTAAAATAACACAAGGGCTACTGGCGACGGATCTC